AATAAATATCTTTTTATACTCACAGATGTACTTCATGGGGTGGCATCTGCTCCTGCAATTCCAAGCTTCATCCTGTTTCTGTTATATAAATGGCAGAGAAGGCATTTATCTATGTATGTGTTATCCCAAAAAATCTCCTTGACATGTGGCAAATAAAATGGCGTGCCACTTGTTTTGCTCAAAACAAGAAAGATTTCTCCGACGACCCTCTCTTCTTTCCAAGCGTGAAACTCAGCTTGTGAGTTGATGGAAGAACGTCGTAGATTGCACCTTAAAGATCAGACGATTGGCAGAAACGAGGGATGAACTTCCTGCACGAAATGGGTTATACGATAAAATGCCCTGGATATGATTCCAAGGACTCCTCAAAGCTAATGTAATCAAGAAAAGTTAAGACTGCAAAGTAAATAAATGATCGCTAAACTACTGAAAATCTAAATAAACTTTAAATACGCAAACTGAATTAAAACAGAGCTTTAAAAGGAAATTTAATTGTAGCAAAAGTAAATTAAGTTAAAGTAAATAAAACCCGAAACATGAAAAATCTACTGGCAGCATGAAATGTAAATTAACAAAAAAGGAACTGAACATGAAATTAAATGTCGACATCATTTGATTAAATTAAAGGAAATCTGGAAAACAAATAAAAGGAAAGGAAGCAATCCGATTACAAAGAAATATTACTGAATGCAGCAAAACTCACCATTACAAATTCGACAAAAGAAGAACCGAATTGCTAAACTAATCTAGGTTGAAGCGTAGAGCTGGAATTAAATTAAAGGGCTTGAAACTAAGATGAATCTGAGCATAAAGAGAAATTGTGCTGAGTTTGTTGTGTGAGATGTCGATCCCTTGCATGATCTTATCATTAGGTATTTATAACACCTTGGCAGCATGGTGGACGTTTGCGGCAGCTGAAAAACCAACGACAGCGTAATATCTACAACAAATTGATTAATTTGTTGGTGCTGCGATTATCCTCCTGAAAGCTCGTAACAAAAGAACGGTTTTGCTGCCGTTGTGGAAATAACCACTCGATCTCATCTGAAGAAATCCACACCAACTTCCAACTAATTAAAATATCTGCCATCATGGGCGACACGTGGCAGCACTCCATTTGTTGTAAAATTAGGTGTAAACAGTATGATTCTATTGAAGAATTCTTGCAAAGTCACAATAACCTTATGTCAGTAAGGTATTCTTACTCAAATATCAAGAAATTGACAAATGGCTTTAAGGAAAAACTAGGGGAAGGAGGTTTCGACAAGGTTTATAAAGCAAGGCTTAAGAGTGGTGGTCTTGCTGCAGTCAAGTTATTGGGCAAATCCAAAGTCACAATCCAAGATTATTTCAGTGAAGTAGCAACAATTGGGAGATTTCACCATGTCAATGTGGCAAAACTTATTGGCTTTTGTGCAAAGGGTTCAAACCACGCTCCTGTATGGCTTCATGCCTAATAGTTCTCTTGATAAATACATTTTTACTAGGGAAGAAAGTACAACCTTGGGTTGGGAAAGACTATACAAGATTTCTCTAGGAGTGGCTTATGGGATTGATTAATTACACCAAGGCTGTGATATGCGAATCTAACGTTTTTGGTCTAGAGAAACACTAGGATAGCATCATGTCCCTAACTGCAGGAAGAGGAACACTAGGATACATGGCGCCTAAGTTGGTCTAGAGAAAAATTGGAGGTGTCTCACACAAGGCTGATGTCTATAGCTTTGGAATGTTGTTGATGGAAACAGCTAGCAGGAGAAGGAATTTAAACCCACATGTAGAGCATTCAAGTCAAATTTACTTTCCTACATGGGTTTCTCAACAATTGAATAAAGGAATGGAGCTGGGAATAAGAGGAGCCACGGAAGATGGAAAGAGAATAGCTAAGAAAATGATCATTGTGGCTTGGTGGTGTATATAGGTGAAACCAAGTGATCGTGCTTCGATGAACAAAGTGGTGGAGATGCTTGAAGCAGATCTTGAAAGTTTAGAAATGCCTCCTAGGCCCTTCTAAATATATCCATATGCAACTGAAGAAGATGATGCTAAAATGAAAACCCACTCCACAAACCTTTCTAGTTACTCATCCTATGATGATATAGAGATAGAATCAGAATCAGTCAGTTTAATTGAAAATGGAAATTAAGCCAAAAGGTTGCAGAGAAGCCTAATTAAGTAGAGTTTTCTTTATTCATGAGTTACACAAAAACAGTGGGCATCCATCCCTTTTTGCTACCCACTTCTCACCCCACCTAGATGTCACAATGGCTCTAAATTTGCATCACGTTTTCTGGTGTTCAATTCTCAAGAAATGGTTAATTTTCTTTCCAACTGATTAACTAACTGAGTTGCACCCACATAGACACACAAGAAAGAACACAAATAAAAACTATTAACTTGTAATTGGCACATATTACCTGAGGCATTAAGGCATCCATCCCATTGAGAAAAATCAAGCACTGTTGTCCTAGGCAGATGCATAATTCAAAGTTGGCCTGAGAGATGAAAAAACATTCAGATGCGATGAAATGGGACTACATTCAATGCGAAATTTGTTAGGGTATTAATTACATGACTCACTTGGAAAAATCCTGCATGTCAAAATCAAGAATCAAGCTCCATCCATGGGTGATGGCTGTACCTTCCTAATGCATCAATCAATTCATCCTTAAATAATTGAATGTGATAGTCGATTCTCTCCATAAGAAGAAGGAGAACTCCGGATTGCATTGGGATTTCATGGACATACGTTGTAAGAAAAAGGGATTGGGAGAGAGCTGTTGAATTTGGGTAGAAGGAGAAGAAACGGAACTGGGAGAATGAGCAACGGAGAAGGAGAAGTCGGGAATCGCTGGAAACTAGAGATTTTTGGTGAAAGGTTAACTTTGCACTTGCACGAGGGGGCATTTGCAGCAAGCCAGCAATCCTGTGGGACTCGGGAGACCCGCCACCAATTTGTGCAGGAGAATAATCCAAGAAAAC